TGTAGGCAGATCTGGGCTTTCTTTGCTGATGCCAGGTATCCAAGTTCCCCCAGTCTCAGTAGGAGAGCCTCCATACCTTGCAGATAGCCAGTTTCCATCTCAGCTGCTAAGAGGAGGTCATCTACATATTGAAGAAGCATAATCTGTGGGTTTCTTACCCGAAAGTCAGCCAAATCATGGTGCAGAGCTTCATCAAACAGAGTAGGGGAATTCTTGAACCCTTGGGAAAGTCGTGTTCAGGTTAATTGCCTTGATATTCTAGCTTCAGGGTCCTTCCATTCAAAAGCAAAAATGGGCTGGCTAGCCGGGCTCAATCTTAGGCAGAAGAATGCATGTTTCAGGTCAAGAACAGTATACCACCTGTGACTGGGAGGCAAAGTACTCAGGAGGTTGTAAGGATTTGGGACAGTAGGATGTATATCCTCTATCCTCTGATTGACTTCTCTTAAGTCTTGGACTGGTCGGTAGTCATTTGTTCCTGGCTTCTTTATGGGGAGCAGTGGGGTGTTCCAAGGGGACTGGCAGGGCCGAAGTATGCCTACTTGTAAAAGTCTCTGAATATGAGGTCTGATTCCCTCTCGGGCCTCTCTGCTCATAGGGTATTGTCTGATTGAGACCGGAGTTGCAGATGGTTTTAGTGTGACCACTATTGGAGGCTGATTGCATGCCAGTCCTGGGCCTCCTGTCTCGGCCCATGCTAAAAGGATTTTATTTAGTCAATTGGATATACCAGGGGTTTCTGCTATCGGTCCCTCATACAACCGATGTTCATCCTCCAGTCGCAGGGTTAATACCTGTAATGGAGCTCCATCTTTTCCATGTACAGTGGATCCCTTTTTAGTGAAGTGGATGTGGGCTCCTAACTTGGAGAGTAAATCTCTCCCAAGGAGGGGATATGGACAGTCTGGGACCAGTAAGAACGAGTGAGAGACTTGTCCTGTACTGAGGTCCACTTTTCTTTCTGTAGTCTACCTATATTTCTTCCCTCCAGTAGCCCCTTGGACCCAGGCTGTTTTGGAACTCATGGGTCCCTTGGTTGTTGTCAAAACTGAGTGTTGAGCTCCTGTGTCTACCATGAAGGTAGTCAATTGCCCCCCTATCTTTAGAGTTACCCTGGGCTCAGGGGGGAGCTCCTGGCCCAGACTCCCCTAGTCTCCTAGGGTCAGGACTGGGGTTGTCTTTTTTTGTAGTTTATTTAACTTCTTTGGGCATTCTCGAGCCCAATGTCCTCTTTCCTTGCAGTAAGCACATTGATCTTTGTCCACTCGGGGTCTTCTTTTGTCTCCCAGGTCCCTACCTGGTCCTGTTCCCTGGACTACTGTGGCCAAAATTCGACTTAACTCTTTATTTCTCTTCTTCTCTCTCTTATCTTCTCTAGCTTCCTGTTCTTTTCTAATTCTATCCTCTCTTTCTTCTAATGTCTCACGCTTATTATAAATTTTCTCAGCTTCTCTTACTAAATCCTGTAAGGAGTACCCCTGATGGCCTTCTAGCCATTGAAGCTTACCACAAATGTCAGGAGCAGATTGTCTTATGAAGGCCATAATAAGGTCCGCCTGATGCTCCTGAGCTGTGGGATCAAAAGGGGTGGACATCCTATATCCCTCTATTAGGCCCTCTAGAAACCCTGCGGGGGTTTCATTTTCCCCCTGGGTTATAGCACGTACCTTTGCCAAATTGGTTGGGCACCTTCCAGCCCCTTTGAGACCCACTGTCAGAGTCTGGCGATAAAGACAGAGACGCTCCCTACTGGCCAGGGTCTCGTGGTTCCAGTTG